TTTTTAATGTTCTATGAAATACATTGTATGGACAAAGGGAAGCAATTCCTAATTCCTATGCAAATTAATTATCCAAAGGTCTAAAATGATATATTCTAGAGGAAACTTGGTACCCTTCTTCTGACAAACCTATAAAGATATACTGTACACACAAGAAGAATAACTTCACAGTGGTACACTTTTACATAAAACTTTGATTCATAACAAATTAACAGTAAATCCTCCTGTACAATATGATGGGAACTTCGTCTTTATTTTGTTCTCCATTCCAAAAATAATATATATATATCTTTTGCCTTAGCTTTCAGTACTTTCAGTACTTTGATTTATTTTTAACATCGAATTAAAATACAGCGTTCCATTTTGACAAGCCAGTCTTAACCAAAATGGTATTTGCTATCCTCAAACAGACTTTGTAACAACTTGTTTACAGCTTAGCAACGAAACAACTCATTTGTGTTACAGCATAACATTTCTAGGGTTTGCAAACGATGAGAACGTGTCTAAAAGTCACGAAGAACATTTGGCCAAGAGTATCGCAAGTTGTTGGCAAAGAGATTGATGGGGATTGTTAACATATAATAAACACCTACACAGAAAACTGTCGATATTATATAACCTTTTACGATTAAACGATATAATATTTACACTATTGAATAATGGCTGTTTATCGTTTGACATTTATACCGGCAGCTAGGTTTCTATATATCTTATGAAATTAAGAAAAATGTTAACAACTCTATTTTGAGTATTCTACAGAAAAGAGTACCAACGTGTTAAATGACTACTTTTGATACAGAAACATGACTAAAGGAACCAAGGGGGCACCTAACAAAGACATCAGGAAGCCCAACAACACACGAAAACAGATGCTCTGGAAAGAGGGTTATGTACCCAATGTTTTTGGAATCAAAGATGTATATATTTATTACTTACCTTCCGCGAGAAGTAAGCACGCGGGCAGTAGCCATATGCAACATCCTGTGTCTGGCATCCTTCCCGGCTAAACAGTCCTATCAAAGCGCTGACCACAAGCTCACTGCTGGACAACCGTCTCTGAGATCAATTACATCTGTGCTGTGATCTAGGATGTATTGTTCGAATGTTTCCGTTTACATATGCATAAAAGGGATTCGGGTGGCTCTTTACATACGATTATTTACATGGTACATTATCTTTAAGTTTACATATAAAGATCTTCGTGTACAGACACCACTCACAGATTTATGTTTTACATGTCTAAAGATATCTTATTGCCATAAAACTGTTTTCAGTATCCAGAATTGGAAGGATTTTACAAACAATCATTCGCAACTGTTAGCCTGTACATGTTCAGGTATTCAAGGACAAACCCTAACAGCATAATATTAATTTGAGATTCTTATATACCGCTTTATCACAACCTAGTTTTTAGGTCGTCTGAAAGCGGTTCACAAATTATTATCCGTGGTTATAGGGCCTTTGCAACCAGCCAATGCCTTTCTCAACCCCCCTGGGAGCATACAGCAGGTGCTGCCATTTTGGTCGTACGCATTGAATATTCAGAGAAATTGTTTTTCTCCTGCACACGCAACTCCAACAACCCAGGTGGAGTATAAAAATGGTCTGAGGTGGATGTTGCGGTATCTGCGCTTGAGCAATCAAGTGAGATTGCACTATAAATGATACCGTTGGAAGCACGGTCACACTACAAAAACAGAACACAATACATCTTCAGCACACACTCAGGCATATGCACATAGGGAGATATTAGCCAGGTGGCATAGGGCTATTAGTTAGCGCCTGCTAAGGCAGCTCCTGCGAAGTTCTCAAAATTATATTGATTCGTGTATATATGCTAATTGTATGGATTATATAAATTGTATGTCTATGTACTCTTAAGCGCTTTAGCGTGGTTTATTCTAGCTAGATAGGGCGCTATATCAAATGTTGTGTATTTATCTATTTGCTATCCACAGTCAGTAAACCTTTCAGCTGTCCCTCTGTTAGAAAAATATATTTTTTGTGGTTATTGATAACATAAGATATTTTTTGTTTGAACAGGTAATGAAGCTATTTTGTATAAAACGCAGATCGCTCGGCACTGGGTTTAAAACATCAAATACTTACCAACAACGTCTGTTCGTATGAATGTCCCTTTAGGAGACTTATAGCCGTAAACAATGTACTATGTTTACATATCATACAGTATTTTTTCTTTCGCGAAGCAAACCTATGGTATAATTAGGCTGTCAAATAAACTGAAACTTGTCCATGAACAGAAATTGTTTGAGTCGGGTATTTTACAACTTTTTGACATTTTCTGCCTGCTTTAGACCTAAAGATCATTGTGATAGTGGCAGCCGCTACTACTTGTAAAATAGATTCAAATAACATAATTGATTTCCATTTTTTTATGATTTGTCATCAATATTTTTTGATTATCGTTAACTAATAGAAAGGCTGAACGCGTTTTTCTTATATCTCCAGCATTAAATATTTTTGAACTTTCCATCAACTTCTCCTTTGAAACCAAAATCAAACGATAAAATTGATTTTAGATTTGTAACGGCATATAAATCTGCATAAACCAAAGCTGTTATATATCAGGAGTCATATTGGAGGCACGGTAGTCTGGGGTGTTCCATGAACGCATACATCTTTAGAACAATAGGTAGAAACATCAAAGGGAGGGTAATTATAGTTTGTATCATATATGTACTATATTTACCTGAGATATGATATAACTTGTATATGGTTCCAAAGAATAGTATCATCATCATCATCATCATCATCATCACCAGTGTGAAAGAAAACTACACACATTTCACTTTTCATTTATATCATGTATTGGGAAAATAATACTTCTTAATACTCTGATGTATTCAAATGTATTCTAAAAGATATTAAATAATGGAACTTAATCAGTACATTACAAAGTTGTTAGTTGGATAAAGGAACTCACATATCAGTAGGGGGAAAACTAGGCTCAAACTTACTAATATAGAGCACTATGAATTATAAAAGAAGGTATTTACATGAGGTACAATACTGTCACCTGCCTTATACTGGTGTAAATTAAATACAAGTAAGAATAATGCTTTCTTAGATAATGTTAAATTTGATTCAATATTTTTATTCAAATCATAAAAACGTAACAAATGAAGGCACGGTAGTGTAGTGGTAGGACGCCGGGCTACAGGAGGCACGGTAGTGTAGTGGTAGGATGCCGGACTACAGGAGGCACTGTAGTGTAGGGGTAGGACGCCGGGCTACAGGAGGCTCGGTAGTGTAGTGGTAGGACGCCTGGCTACAGGAGGCACGGTAGTGTAGTGGTAGGACGCGGGGCTACAGGAGGCACGGTAGTGTAGTGGTAGGACGCCGGGCTCGTGACCGAAGGCTTGCACGTTCGAGTCACGTCACGGCACTGTGTTGTATCTTTGAGCAATATTCTTTACTCCGCTTGTTCTAGTCTACTCAGCTGTAAATGAGTACGTGGTTGGGCAGTGCTAGAATTGTTGAACGCTAGCCGTTAGCGCCGAAATGGCAGCTCCGGCTGTATGCTCCCCAGGGAGTTGAGAAAGGTATTGGCTGGTTGCAAAAGCCCTATAACCACGGATAATAATTTGTGAACCGCTTTGAGACGGCTTACGAACTAGGTTGTGATAAAGCGGTATATAAGAACCTCGAATATCATTATTATTATTGTTATAATATTATTGATCTATTTCATCGCATATATCGCATATAACATAACACTAACCACGTATTGTTCTGCCGCGTTGTTGATTATCCAGGTATATTGATTACTGTATGTGAACAATACATTATTTTTGGACATATTATCACGTGAAAGTGTCTTAAAGCGATGAAATAAATTGGCTTTTGATAATATTTGTATTAGATACGAAACAACTTTAACAAAATCATTAAAACCCAAGGCTGTGTTTGGTTTACAAATTATTTTAGTAATGCCCTAATTGCGATGGTTCATTTTTGTTGAAAACTATTCGAACGCAGTACACTTAAACGATATGTGTGTAGCTGATTAATCAACGTTGAAACACAATCATCCTAGAAACTGAAAAATGAAATACGTGGATTCGATAAAGATTTGTTCATAAAATCTGTTCACTAATACATTCACTTCATTTCAATGTAGGTCCATCATCGACACTAAAATGTGGAATTTCAACCAATTACAGGCATTATGCAAATCGACTAACGGAGTCCGGGAACTCAGGCATCTGGTATTTCCTCACCATCTTTGAGTTCATCTCATCTAAAACAGATAATGTGTGTGGTCCTTTTGTCCTAAAACTATCTATTAATATCATTACTCACCTAAGGTTGATACAGATAATGTGTGTGGTCCTAATGTCCAAAAACTATCTGTTACTATCATTACTCACCTAAGGTTGATACAGATAATGTGTGCGGTCCTAATATTATAAAACTGTTCGTTACTTTTATTAACCGCCTAAGCTGTCATCCTTCGTCGATCTGTGCAAATTGTCTTTCCAGATAAAATGACAAGATCATGAAACTGCTGGATCACTGGGATATTCTTTGAAAATACATAAAAATATGTCCATACTATCTGGAATAATCATGATCGTGACTTGGCTGTATATGAGTTTGAAGATGACACTATACATGTAGGTAAACAACAGTTAACATTTGATATACTGTTAATACTGCCACAAAAACAAGTATTTCAAATTATTTTTTACCGATTTGTTCCAAATATTACATCAATTCATTTGGCAGAATAACGCCTATTTAAAGTTTGATTTATATCGATAAATACAATATCTAAATTTAAATTTCACGATTATCCTTTGCCTTTATTCGATCAATAATAAATCGAAAAACAATGTAACAACTGTTTGCAGCAAAAAAAAACATCATTCTTTTCTAGTAAACAACACTCAAGTTTACTCATTAGTTCGGTAAGTCAGTCAATATTGTGATAAAATACCCCCGCATTTAGAGACAGGTCATATATAATGATACAACAATCATACAGCCAACAGTCGACACACGAGAGATCGCAGCTGATGCACCGTTTGTTCTGTCTCCTTTGTCTTCAATGGCGGCGTACATCTGCGCAGGCGCACAATTCTTCCTTTGAATTTGATCATATGGACATAGACAAAAGAACCACTGTCGGGAGGTTTGTCCATATTTGCCACATTTTCGATTATAAGGATTCCTTCCTTCATCACAATTCGATGAACCGGGAACAATCCGCTCTGTCCGTAGTCACCTGAGGGTGTGTCGACTCCTAGGGTATGTACGTCACGCTTGTTGACAAGCCATTGCGCAGCACTCTCGTGGAAGCCAGAGAAGTGGAGCGATAAAAGGTCCTCCCTGTATGTTGAGGAGTTGTAGACTCGTACAAAATCAGGATAACGGGAGCCCCAGCCAGAGTTCATCAGTACAATAGCTCCTGATGGAATTGGGCCGTGATTTTCCTCCCATGCCATCAGATCTAGGTCAGTTACTCGATAGTCTATGTTACTGGCGACCTTGGCCTTGACATTGATCACCACACCCGGACCCATCAGCTGTTCCATCCCCCCACCCCCGCACCCCATGCACCTTTAGGAGTCCACATGCGTGCCCGTGTGTTCTCCAAATTCCACGTTTCCATACTTCAGCCTGCAAATATGATAGCTTATACTTTGAGTACAGCAGTGAAGAATACCATTTCTGCAACATGTTTTCATGTATGCAAATTACACTGTTTTCAAAGAATAATTTTCAGTATACAACGTTCTTATAGAAACCAAAAGACAATATTGAAAAAATAAAAGATGTAATTGTTGATATTATATAAACTATTATCAAAAGAAGATGACGTTTTGAATTGCTGGAAAGATCATTTTGAGAAGGTGTTCAATATGGAAGACCCAGAAATAGAAGCAGTCATTACATCGGTCGAGGACATCTTAGACATCAATAAAGAACCACCTAGTATCGATAAAGTTAAAAAAGCAAAGAAAAAAACAAGCAGTTTTTAGAAAGGGACGATCATGTGCGGACCAGATATTTACCCTCAGACAAATAGTAGAGCAAAGTAAGGAATGGAACTCGTCAATGTATATCAACTTCATTGACTTCACAAAGGCTTTCGATAGTGTCAACCGGTTGGCCTTGTGGAGATTACTCAAACACTACGGTATCCCAGACAAACTCATCTCCATCATGAGGATGCTATATGCAGACTTCAATACCAGTGTGATATGTGGATCAAGTCTAACAGTGGCGATCAAACTGCGGACAGAGATAAAACAGGGGTGTTTGCGTTCCCCGTTACTCTTCACATTTTGCATAGACTGGATAATGAAAATGACCACAAGAAATACAAACAGCGGGATTAGTTGGACATTTAGAGAGATGCTGGAATATCTAGATTTCACAGACGATACCATGCTGCTGTCTCATCGATATCAAGATATACAATGCAAAACCAACCATCTGGCTACAACAGCAAAACAGATAGGACGTTCGACTTAACATCAATGTCAGCAAAACCAAGATTATGAAAGTCAGCACCAGATCAAATGAATACATTACCCTAAATGCATCAGACATCGAGGAAATGAATGAATGTGTCTACCTAGGAAGCAAAATCACGGCAGATGGTAATTTTGAGATTAATGTACATCTGGAAGTCCACCAAGATAAGCACCAACACCAAATTAAGGATTTCAAAAGCAACATACTGGGTGTCCTTCTGTATGGCGCAGAATCCTGGAAGACAACAAATGCTATTAACAACAAGCCGAATGTCTTCCAAACTCGATGCCTCCGCAGAATTTTGCGCATCTTCTTGCCACAGATCATCTCAAATGAGTAGTTGTATCAGAGGACAAACACCATTCCTCTTTCATCAGAAGTCAAGCAGGAAGATGGAGGTGGATTGGACATGTCTCCGGATCTAGAATGCACCCAGATTCCATCCCTAGGGTAGCAAGAAGGTGGACACTACCAGGAAAAAGAAAGAGAGGAAGACCAAAGGAAACCTGGCGGCGGTCTGCTGAGAGAGAACTGAAAGAGAAATACTGGATATGGGGACAAATACACCAGTGGTCACAAGACAGACAGGAATGGGAACCTCTGGTGATGGTGGCCTTATATGCAACCCAGCACGAAGAGGACTAACTAACTAACTTAAATGACTATAATTTCACTTGCTATATATACGGATTGTATTTTACTGTTCTCATCAGTCCTTATTCGCTTTAGTTTAATTAAACATTTTCATTTCATCAAATTGTATTGACAAGATGTCATAGTCAAATGGATAGAATAACAGGCAAAGCCTATATAAATTCTCTCCGTCAAATGGCCAAAGTGGAATAAACAATGAGACATAATAGTTTAGACATGTTGGAAATGAAAAAAAATTAACACAAAATAATTCATATTGGTAACACAAGGCTAAGGGGAAGTAACTCATGAAGGAAACATCTCGCACACCTCATACACACTTACACACACATACAAGTACATGTACAAATACGTTTATTTCAGCATATATATACACTATTATAGACAGATATTGGCAGGCTTAGACCAAAAGTCCATGTGCATATATTGCACAGGTCACTACCAACATCTGTTACAATTCAAAATAATAAATTCAATTAATACATATAGAGTGTAATTATTTACAATGACAAGATAAGTACATGCAATAGTCAGGTATGCTCAACTAGAATCTCCTGGATGTAATATATAATATTTTTGTTTTAACATGTACATCGTGGCTTTAAGTCATATAAAAATTAAAACGACGGGATTTTCCAATAAAAATATGCACATCGTCAAGTATTCGTCTTTTATAAGCCCCTCACAAGCAGGTCAATGTGATTGTGGTTGCCATAACTATTGAGAGAAGTGAACAAATTAGTTCTTCGATTATTAAAAATAGGACATTGCAAAAAGTAATGAGATACTGTTTCATGTTCAGCAGAGCAGGTACAAGCTGGACTATTAGTAAGATGGTCATGGTGTAAATCAGAATTTAAATTACTACAGGAGTTTCGAAGTTGACATAGAATAATATTTGCTCTTCTGTTACCTTCTGTTTTGAAAATTGATACAGATTCACTATCAGAAACAATATCTTTGTTCAAATAATTTGTTAATGCTGCAGGAGAGGGAGAATTAAGAAGATCAGAATTTACAGTGTTAATTGTGCGGCACATTTGAGGGTAAAAACTGTTGAAATAGTTATTAGTTCTACATAACGGTGGGCTAAAAAGCTTCGTTTGTCTGAGAGGGTAGGGGTTATCATTTTGATTATTAATAAAGGGATTTAAATCATTTTGTAGGTATTGAGGTGTCAGCCCATGCATAATTTTGTACATCATTACATGTTTGTGTTTATTTCGTCTTACAGATAGTGTTTCCCAACCTAGTTCATTGTATAGTTTGTCATGTGATACCCCAGAACGAAGACCTGTTATTATCCTGGCTGCTTCTAATTGTACAGATTCAAGAAGATCTTTTCGAACATTTTGAAGCGACGACACCAATGCTATACGTTCCATGGAACAGTGCCGTAGGGTCCTGCGTGCTGGATCGAGAGGTTGAATCTTGGATTAAAGGGATATGTCAAGCTGGTTTGGTCAATGTCATACGATATGTCAACAACTCCAAGATATGATAGTCATAGCCGATAGCCTTTTCAGTTATTTCTATATAAAGAACTGGTTGTAAAATTCTAGAAATAAATCACTTTTTTTTCTCACTTAAAATAATACACTTCTTGGAAATTACTTCAAATATAGAGTATTTCCGAAAACATTAATTCTGCGGTCGTCGGAGAAAGATACGGATCATATGGTGCCTGTCACCGTATACACTCCGTGAACATGCTTACATAATACTCGCACGTGTTCCCAATACGTGGGCATAGCCGGCATACTATTGAATTAGTTTGAATAAGTTTGTATTACTTAATTTACTTTACAAACTCAGTCTGTAATTCCCCTTTCGCTGAATAAAGATATAAAATAAATCACCCGAAAAAACTTTTATTGTTTACAAGTTTTTCATGTATCAACAACTAAGTCGTAAATGAGAAGAACTATATGATAGGCAAGTAAATATAATCTAAGTGCTAACATAGAAAGACGTCCTTTTTAGTTCATTTGGCTAATTATATCCCAGAGACTTTCGCCTTCGATCAGAAATTTTGTCGAACTTTAGCTTGTAATCGCATTTGAGGTCTCCGTTTGTATTCGTGGTAATATACTGTGATGCTTGATTGTAGGCTTAATACCATTGTTGTTAAATTAAATAAAAAACAAAAACAAAAACAACCAACTTTTTGTTAATTGATTCTCTGTTAATAAATTGAAATACAAGTTTTGAGGTATTTAGCACACACGCCTATTCACAGCATACGCTACAACATGTGTCGTCTGCTAGATGGTATTTGTGTAGAATGTAATATTAAGCTTTTTGTGATATGCATGTAATCATTGATTATTTTCGATCGATTTGTATTGATCGATGGACTGTGCATTGCAGTAGATGTGGGGTAATAACTATACAATATAGACATATTGTGTCTCTACTAAACGTTGTCGGGACAAAGGAATACATTTCAAAAGTTGACAGTGCTATCAGTATCCACAACTCACCGCTAAGGGGAAGGGAGAGGAGAGATGAGAGGAGGAGATGTTATCAGCATTATCAGCTTAACCTGTGGTTCCTGCTTTCGTAACGACAGCAGATATTTTCATAATTATGTCTTTTATAAAGTTGGAGCAGGCCCAGCTTCTAGCCTCATCTGTCAATAGACCTTATAGGTGTAGTGACAGACGGGGAACAGGTCTGCAAGATAGCACACCGTCAGAGAAGGCTTGGGGAACTTAATGATATGAATGCATTTTTGTATGGGGGAGGGGGGGGGGGGCGGTATGCCGTTAATACTAATATGTAAACTGTCGCATCTACATCACAAGATTAGGTCATTATGAAGCAGCGATTGCTTTGAGTAAGTATCGCTCCGAACAGGGCCTCTAAGAGCAATATACAATGTAGCTGTTCTCAAAACCAACTCAATTGCTGGAATACAATAACAGCAAATTGCAAAGGAAAATGCGTACGTTATGTTGTGGCAGTGAATCATAATATCAATGTTCTCAATTCCGATTAACTTCCGACCAGTGTTTACTGTTTTCTCCTCCATATCTGCCACTCTCTTATTAGAATCATGTTGCTTTCAAACACTGACACTGGTTTTAATTATCACATACTCATTTTTGCAAACTGCATTTTATTGACATCATATGAAGTCACAAATATACGGTTCCGTGATACCAGATCAGTGACCAGTATAAATGATATTGGTGATACCTAAGGTCAACTTGTTAAGCCCCCTAGGTTGGACAGATGTAGCTTGATTGCCATTTTTGTAGACTCTGGATACTTGGGTTCAAGTTCTCGTCTGGTTCTACGTCGTGTCTTCAGCTCTCACAAACAACTTGGCAGCTGTTGAATCTCAACTGAAATGAAAATGTATAGTTAGGCATGGCTTCAGATTTTTCTTATTCTATAACACAGCGATAACATTTAGAAGGAATCTGAGAAAGACTCTCTTAAAATGGAAAATTAAACTGAGCTGTACTTGACATTATATGAAAAAAATACCATTTATCTAGAAAAGGAGGAAGACTCTGAATTGTGCAATGATAAAGATTATATCGTACAAGGTGGTGCGGCAGTAGCTTGCCTTTGCTGATGAGATAATCTGCGAATGAACACAATACACCATAATGACATACAGAACTATAAAGACAATTATCTTTTTTTTTGTAATAAGTTATTGAGGAATTATGACAATATGCATAAAACTGTTACTAAGATCGGCCTTCTCTATATGACCAAATCACCAAAATGATGAAGAAACTTTTAAAAAATAACGTAATTTTGTAAAAAAAAAAAAAAAAAAAAAAAAAAAAAAAAAAAAAAGCATCCATTTGTGATTTTGGTCCCCCACTTTACCCCCTCATATCTCGGAATGGTCTCCATGCTGACCTTAATTTCATGTCATATCATGATGGCATTACCCCAAGGTATGTATATGCAAAAAATACAACGTATCGGTAATAGCCACCAGAAGGCCAAAATTGGCACCCTCCTTTGGTAAGCAAGTACAATATACAGACAACGACTGAGGACGAGTTCGATGTTAAGCGAAATCTACGTTACATAAATAAACATACTGCGCTCTGATTGACGGTTTTCCGCACAATGAATTAGTCCAACATGGCTCGATTCTGATTAAATATTGTTAATATTTACGAGGGCCTTCCAATCAATTATGTCACCACACAGCTCCCATACAAACGGGCTATAGAATATATGCACGTAAAATCTATTCTCCTTCTACCAAAAGGTTAAACGATGACTTCGAAAAACTTTGAAACTCTAAAATGGCGTGTGTTTTTGGAGGCAACGGAGATCATGTCCGCGATAGGAGAATACATTTTACGTGCATATATGAGGCCAAAAGAAAAATTATACATGTTTCCAACGATACTAAGCATTTCTCCGTAGATCAATTAAAAAAGTTGTTTTGATGCAAGAAAGTTAGGCAGGGTAGGCTTTTCGACATTGAGAGCTTTCCACCCATATATCATTGCATGGGGGTGTCATTTTTACCGAAAGTCGATCTAAACCCTCAAAACATGTAAAATTACTTGAGCACCTTAGTTTCGGTCCAAATATAGCTGTAACAAATTTTCCGGTCCCTAAGGCATGTAACAACAATCAAAGAACAATACACGTGAATAATTTCGACAATCCGACAGAATTGATGACGCACCGAAGAAAGCATTGCTACTGCTAAAGCAATAATTAAGGACATCCCACTCTTCGTAATACAGATGTTTTTCTTGTCGACTTTTTGTCGTGTCGTCATTTCCGTATTGCTTATCGGGCATTTCAATGCCGTAGTGTAAACTATAGTAACACCGGGTAAACAATAATAGTACACGTGCGTGACGATGATATGTCAACACTCGATATCGAGACTTTACTGGGAAAAATGTAACGACACGTACTTCAGAAATAAAGCTTCCGATACAAAGACATAAATTGACACATGGAAAGACACTGACGCGAGACCAGACGACTTCACGAAGGTCATACATGAATCACATGGAATGCAGACTGATGTGTTTCGTGTACCGACCTCACATGTGCATATCATGTGCTTACACCATTTCACCAATCTCGAGGTCATTAGATTTTCGCTGTAGAGCGAGTTACTCTCTGTCGAGTAAATCGTCGTTTATACAAACGCAGTGCACGTACTCAGGGGCGTTTATAGGAATTTTGAAAGAGGGGGCGTAGAATAAAAGCTTTCGCAGAGCGGATCGAGGCGAAAAAATGTTTGGACCTTTCATCACTGCAAAACAACACATAAAATAATTGTGAAATGCACTAATGTAACGATTTCACTATATCACGTGGTCAACAACAATGGATACTAATCGCAGAGTCGAATACGGCGGAGAAACGAAATTTTACGGATCACCCTTCGGATGGGGGAATCAGTATAAAAAGAAATCAGAGTATTTGTTTAATTAATGAATATGATAAATTGCCATATTCAATACAAAATTAGCAGATTACGAGCCCTCACCTGGACCCGCCCCTGGTACTCTGTGAAAATAGTGGTTTGTAAAATACCAAGATCTCTATGAAAATGCATGTGTAAGTGTACGTGTGAACTGGTCACATATGTACCCGACAAGTAAATATATCATTTGTTAGCAGGCTGTGGAATGATGTCAAATGTATACATGATTGAGAGTATTTTGGTTCCAAAAAAGAACAATAAAATGGCAATTTTGATAACCTAATTTTGATTTATTTCCAGCATTTTTGATGTATCTATAAAGTGCCATTGTGTAAATTTAATCCCTCTGCAAAAAGTTCCGATTTTTTCAAGGAAGACAACTCTCACCTGGAACAAGTGATAAAAAAATGTAAAGTTAATTAATTTAAAACCGTTGTGTTTATTTTGTTCAATTTTCCACATTGTCTGTAAGAAACTTTGTATCCTGTTTGGTTTTATCTGTAAAATTTCAATAAAAACACTTTGTGTAACGCGTTTTATATATTTTGTGATAAAGAAATTAAGTGTAGGTTTAATCGGTAATGTTTGTTTTCATTATTTTTTATTATTATTATTGTTCCAAACAATGCCTCCCACCAAAATAATTAAAAAAAAATGAAATTGAAGGAAAAATCCTATTATTTTGTTTTGTATTTTTGTTCCAAAAAATCCCCAGTCTATTGGAATGATTAGCTTTTTATCAAATAACCTCTACACAGTTGCAAAACCATTTTGTGAAAATTTCAACGAATTCTGCTGGTTTATTGCAAAAGGGTAAAACCTCCTTAAAGATGATGGTCAATAATTGGCATTTCAGAAGGCAGTACACATCATATTCTGACAGAGTGCTTAAAATTAAAGAAGCTTTGTGTCAGATTGATCGCCTAGTTGCTGATATTTGAGCAGAAGGCCAAAATATGAGTGCGATAATTGCGCCTCCAGAAACCTATCTGAGTTACTAAATTACCAGGGATGAGACCTGGGTCTATTTTTTATTTAAACACCAGAGGCGCATAGTCGACAATGGTCGTCGAGAAATAAAGAAAAAGCGTCAAGAAAGTTCTGTATTTGTCAATCGGGCACAAAGATGTTTTTTTTTAAAATTCTAGTGAGCCTGTTGTTTAGATATCATGCACGAAAGGAAATACTACCACTGTCAGAGACGAATAACTGAAGTATGTACAAAGATTCTACATTAAAAAGCGTCCAAGTAAAGGATTGATGAATGACATCACGCCAATGCTTCATCCCATAGAAGCAATATTGTAACGCTTCACTCATTCCACCTTTTCATTGCACGAGAAAGTAGTACAGATTGCCCACCTACTTGATTCACTATAGGTTAGTCCCTGTGACTTCTTCGTGTTTCCTTTACTTATTAAAATGATCTCAGGCAAACTGTAGGCCTCTAGGAGTACTAGCGGAGAAGAAGAGAAGAAGATCTCTGATTGGTCGGATGTCCAAAAGGTTAAAAAGAAGAACTCTGATTGGTTGGAGGTCAGAGAGGTCAGAAGGAAGAAGATACCTGATTGGTAGGATGTCTAAGAGGTTAAAAAAGGAAAACTCTGATTGGTCGGAGGTCAGAGAGGTCAGAAGGAAATAAGACCGCTGATTGGTCGGAGGTCCAAGAGGTCAGAGAGAAGAAAACCTCTAATTGGTCGGATGTCCAAGGGGCTAAAAAGAAGAACCCTGATTGGTCGGAGGTCAGAGAGGTCAGAAGAAGACATATGTTTTGTAGGATGTCCAAGAGGTTAAAAAAGGAAAACTCTGATAAGTCGGAGGTCCAAGAGATCAGAAAGAAGAAAAGAAATAAAACAATAAGTCGACCACCTTCGTTTTGAGGACTTAATGGTTGATTACAGTCACAACTTTAACAGCATCTTCTCCGTTTACATTTACATACATCACGCTAGAAGTCTAATGAAAACATACTGCTTTATATCTTCGGCTTTCTTCATGTGTGTTACCAGGTGGGAGTAGCCTAACACCTTATGCTTTCGTGCCAGGAGAAATAGCTTGTATGCAGGATAACTGAAAGCTTACACGGAAACCAATTTTTATTTTGAGGGTTGAGTGATAAAATGTTGATTTTTAATTAATTAGTTTGGAATTTACACGTGTGCAAACATATGTGTTAAGCTAAATAGTGGCATTCGCCTGTATGCTTTAAAACATGATCTGGTCTGGTCTGGTCTTATTGTATAGAGTAAAAGGTGAATGAATCAGGATTAAATTGTGTGTCGGTTTGTTTCAACATTGAGTGTTGCCTGATACGGCTACCCTGTCCCCCTCATCGAAGCATAAAAAAAAATCATAGGAACTAGGTATCGCTGAATTTAGTGATCAATAGTGATATGAACTATATGAAAATTTCATTCAGACCAGACCATGTTTTATAGTATGCTCAAGTATGGGAAACCCGTACGAGTATTTATATTGTACGTTATTCCTCGTGGAATGTAAGCATGTTCACGGGGTGTATATGTGACGAGCACCATATGATCTGTATCTTTCTCCAACGTCTGCAGAATTAATGTTTTTCTGAGCTTTCGAAAATACTCTATATTTGAAGGAAATTCAAACCAGTGTATTATTTAATGTGAGAAGAAAGTGCTTTATTTCTGGAACATTGCAACCAATTCTTTATATAGAAAATAATTGAAGAAGTAGAAATGGTTGGATTCGTGTTAATTTGTTCGGCTATGACTATCTTCATACCCGGAGTTCACACTCGGAGAGTTGTTGACCTCTCGTATGACATGGACCACGACACCTTAACATATCCCAATAATCCAAGATTCAACCTCTCCGTTCAGCACGAAGGTCCATACGGCACTGTTCCATGGTACGTATAGCATTGGTGTCGTCGCTTCAAAATGTTTAATTAAACTAAAGCGAATAAGGACTTATGAAAACAGTAAAATACGATCCGTATATATAGCTAGTTAAATTATAGTCATTTTGCTCAATAAGTTATGTCAAAAGACGCTACATATAGCTGTTATTTTCGCGAATTTGAAGTTCTCACGAAAAAATGTTCTCAAACTGAAAATCTTTCGATTAGTACTCCTGAAAATAATTAGATTGACAGTATTTACCTTTTAATACAGCATTAAATCACCGTTCAATACAGAAACACAAGTGTATACTTAAGATAACACAATCCTCAATACAACAAGTTTCCTAAATGCTACAACTTTATTTGTTATACAAAACAGTTCAACACTACGAAAAGTGTCTTATGTATAATTGTTCACTTTACATGTCTCATGTTATCTATACATGTCGACGTGACATGTCTTATGTTATCTATTAATGTTGACCTGACATGTCTTATGTTATCTTTAAGTGTTGACTTGACATGTCTTATGCTATCTATAAATGTTGACATGACATGTCTTAGGTTATCTATAAATGTTGACTTGACATGTCTTATATTATCTTTAAGTGTTGACAGGACATGTCTTATGTTATCTATATATGTTGACTTGACATGACTGATGTTATGTATAAATGTTGACCTGACATGTCTTATGTTATATATAAATGTTGACTTGACATGTCTCATATTATCTTTAAATGTTGACTTGACATGACTTATGTTATGTATAAATGTTGACCTGACATGTTTTATATTATCGTTAAATGTTGACTTGACATGTCTTATGTTATCTGTAAATGTTGACATGACATGTCTTATGTTATTTATAAATGTTGTCTTGACATGTCTCATATTATCTTTAAATGTTGACTTGACATGACTTATGTTGTGTATAAATGTTGACCTGACATGTCTTATGTTATCTTTAAATGTTGACTGACATGTCTTATGTTATCTGTAAATGTTGACAGGACATGTCTTATGTTATTTATAAATGTTGACTTGACATGTCTTATGTTATCTTTAAGTGTTGACAGGACATGACTTATGTTATGTATAAATGTTGACCTGACATGTCTTATGTTATCTTTAAATGTTGACTGACATGTCTTATGTTATCTGTAAATGTTGACAGGACATGTGTTATGTTATCTATAAATGTTGACAGGACATGTCTTATGTTATTTATAAATGTTGACTTGACATGTCTGATTTTATCTGTAAATGTTGACTTGACATGTCTTATGTTATCTATAAATGTTGACTTGACGTCTTATTTTATCTGTAAATATTGACTTGACATGTCTTATGTTATCTGTAAATGTTGACATGACATGTGTTATGTTATCTATAAATGTTGACTTGACATGTCTTATGTTATCTATAAATGTTGACTTGACATGTCTTATGTTTTCTATAAATGTTGACATGACATGTCTCATGTTATATATAAATGTTGACATGACATGTCTCATGTTATATATAAATGTTGACTTGACATGTCTCATGTTATCTATAAATGTTGACATGACATGTTTTACGCTTTCTATAAATGTTGACTTGACCTGTCTTATGTTATCTATAAATGTTGACTTGACATGTCTTATGTTATCTATAAATGTTGACATGACATGTTTTACGCTATCTATAAATGTTGACTTGACCTGTCCTATGTTATCTATAAATATTGACTTGACATGTCTTGTTTCCTATAAATGTTGACATGAAAAGTCACTCAACATGTTACCTGTTATCTATAAGTTTTGACTCAATATGTTTCCTGTTATCTATAAATTTTGACTCAATATTTCTTACGTTATCTATGAATGTTCACTCAAAATGTCAATATTTATGTCTTGTGTTATATATATAGAAAAAATATGATTAACGACCGACTAAAAAACTAGCTGCTTTCACCCTTCACAGGGCTCTTCAGGTTTATAAACAATAAGAACGCTATATTCTAAAAATTGTTATTAGAAAACAGTGTAATTTGCAAACTAAGAAAATAATTTTATAGAAATGCAATATTCAAACTGTATATTTTATCATATGTGCAGGGTGCAGTATGGAAACGTGGAATTTGCAGAACACACGGGCACGCATGTAGACTCTCCTAATCACTTCGCAAAGGGGGGCCTGCAGGCACATCAGATCAAGATGGAACAGCTGATGGGTCCGGGTGTGGTGATCAATGTCAAGGCCAAGGTCGCCAGTAACATAGACTATCGAGTAACTGACCTAGATCTGATGGCATGGGAGGAAAATCACGGCCCAATTCCATCAGGAGCTATTGTACTGATGAACTCTGGCTGGGGCTCCCGTTATCCTGATTTTGTACGAGTCTTCAACTCCTCAACATACAAAGAGGACCATTCATCGCTCCACTTCCCTGGCTTCCACGAGAGTGCTGCGCAATGGCTTGTCAACAAGCGTGACGTACATGCCCTAGGGTCCGACACACCCTCAGCTGACTACGGACGGAGCACATCGTTCCCAGTTCATCAACTGGTGACGAAGGAAGGAATCCTTATAATCGAAAATGTGGCAAATATGGACAAACTTCCCGACAGTGGTTCTTTTGTCTATGTCCCTATGATCAAGTTTAAGGGAGGAACTGGTGCGCCTGCGCGGATGTTCGCCGCCATTGAGGATGAAGGAGACAGAACAAACGGTGTTTCAGCTGTAATCTCTCGTGTGTCGACTGTTGGCTGTATGATCGTCCTATCACTCTTCATGCTCTAAGTTGTATTTAACAAATCTTTTTAGCAATAGTTGGATATTTTTTCCGAAAACTAAATCTGTGCTTTTTATACTAGTGTAGCGGAACTAGACCGACTTGTAGAGCGTCCGTCTAGAGATCGGAGGGTCCCGGGTTCGAACCCCGGTCTGGCCGTGCATTTTTCCTCACCTTTTACAGTAGTGCCTGTGACCAACCCTTGTTTCAAGCATTGTAACCTTGGCAAGGGGATACCCGAACATGAGTTGTAAATAGTTGTGTCTTCGGGTGCGAAGACTTAGAAAAAGAAGGTAGGAATGAAGCGGAACTAGACTGGGTCGATTAATTGTCGGCGACCAGATAGCTCAACTTGTAGAGCGTCCGTCTAGAGATCGGAGGGTCCCTGGTTCGAACCCCGGTCTGGCCGTGCATTTCTCCTCTCCTGTTTCAATAGAATAGGTCTGATGATCAGACGCAAACAGGTATTTACACTGTGTTTAGACATTGTACATCTGATTAAATAAAGCGTTATACGTTACTTCTTCTTCGGCTATATGTTGTTCATCAAGTCCTCATTAGCAGAGTTGCCTAGGTATTAACAGAAACACTTCTATTCAGTATATTAAAGTGTACCTCAGTAATCACGCTGGTATATTATCCAGACACTTTGGCGGGGATTAAATCGTCAGGATTGACGAGGAACGGATGAAGTGACAAAGGTATACAGATATACTTTGTAAAATGAATATGTTGATAGCAGTGCTGCATATTAAGCACCCATTAGGGTTCTTAGATTAAAATTATCCTGGTTATCGGTTATACCAAATTGAGAAATGTTAAGTACTAATTGCATTCAAATATAAAATGAAACGCATTTTCATTTTCATGTCCACATCTACATACAGGTGTGTTATTTAGATGATCCATAAACAAGTCACTATTAGGGTTGCTGGCATGATTTATTAGCTGACAAATTATGATATTAAATTGTCTTGGCCCATAATATTCAAATGTAGCCATGTCTTTAGTGTTGTTTATATTATCAGACTTGATGGATTTTTAAATTGTTGAAGAAAAGAAGCATTTAAAGTTTCCGCAGATAGAAGATTACATTCTCTACACATTGAGGGAAAATAACTATCAAAATAATTCTCAGTTCTACAGAAAGGGGGATTGAAAATACGGCTATTTCCTAGTGGATATCTTACATTTATATTGTTGTAAAGGTATGGTTCAATGACTTCTTTTAAGTAAATAGGCGATTCATTATTTGAAATTTTGAACATAAGTATTAGTACAACAAAGTGCTTCAGGTCCAGTTTCTGCATAAAGCTTACTATGAGAGATCCCTCTACGCAATCATGTAATAATTCTTAAAGCTGCTTGCTGGATTGACTCTAAAACAAATATTTTGGTTTTGGTTAACATCTGAAATAAGCGTCCTCTGTAGCGACCAAAGCCAACCCTTACACGTAAGTTGGCCCAAGTCTAATTTAGTTTTTTTTTATACTGAAGTAGTCTGTGAGCGGTAATATACAATGCTAGGACAACTTCACCATTCTACACACTGTATCTGTATTTACATAAGGTGTTTATAATAGTAACAGACAATGCTAGGACACAAGTACCAACCCATGCACAGATATTATCTCTATTAACCTAAGGGCACCCTCGATGCTCAAGGGGTTACGCTCACTTACGCTCTCTGCACCCCTGGAATACATTGTATGTCATAGCAAAATTGAAGGCACAAAGAGAGCTGTTTGATTGGTCTCATGCAAAACAAAACCCTGACCAATCGCCAAGCTGATACCTGTCCTTTGAAGATTACAAAGGGGCGGCGCCCGATTTCAAAGTCAGACAATTTTAACCGTTACGTGACCGCGATATTCTTTTGATGTACATCAAAGGATCGAACTAGTCTTCTTGTCTCATCAACAAGGTGGCGCACACTGATGAGTTGTCAATTTTGTTATGACATACTCCAGGGGTGCAGAGGGCGGGACCCCTGGATATCGTGGTACAGATATTTTAGGACATTAGATCAACACACATTAATAGTAACAGACAGTTACAGGACATTAGGACCACACACATAGTTTGTATCAAACTTAGGTGAGAAATAGTAGTAACAGACAGTTTTAGGACATTAGGACCACACACAAAGTCATTGTTTAGTTCCTTCAACATCCAGACACATGTACCATATTCGGGATTTATTTTGTCTGATCTTCTTATTCCATGGATGCACATTCAAAATTCTTTGACGGTATAGTAAACAATGGCGGCTTCCTTTTGCGACGTTCGACAGCGTCACTACCAGAAGAGTGTGTCAATTTGTGTAGATAACGACCGTTAAAAAGTAATAAATATGTTAACGTTGCCAACTGCGTTCATACTACTGTATACGCCGTCAAAATGCAAGTCAATCCTTAAATCCTTATAATTATATAATAATAATAACATACAACATCTGATATAGCGCCCTATCTAGCTAGAGTAAGCCACTCTAAAGCGCTTATACATTTTATACAATCAATACAATTAGCATATACATTAATCAATAAAAAAAATGAGGAATTCGCAGGAGCTGCCTCATCGGGTGCTAACTACTCGTCCTATGCCACCTGGCTAATATCTCCCTATCTGTGTATGCCTGCGTGTGTGCTGGAGATTCATGCTTCAAAGCTATGCCACAAAAGACTTCTTGGTCATTTCAGCTACTAAAACATAAATAAAGGATCTTACATCAGTGTTTATCACATATACGGACACATGTTAACTATATAAAGTTGTCGTTTGGTAAAATGAAACGATGATGATACGGTGTCCAAAATCTTTATTACTTATCTGTTAGTCTACATTTCGATAACGAAGTCTATTGTAGAGTTAGGGAGGCTGAATCTTGGATTAAAAGGATACATCAATTCAATATTACAACGTTTTGTTTTTGTTTTTTTGTATTGTTTAACGGCCAATCGACAATGTGAGTCATTTAGGGCCAACAACACTGTAAAAAGAGACATTCACGAAATAAACACATCAAACCAAACTTTAATAGCTTAAAAGTATACAGGATTACGAAATACATCCATATCGAACAAATTGGCTGCACAATATATCATATTTTATTGCAAAGATCAATAGAGTGTAAATAGTCATATAGTAATTGCACAGAAACTGTATCTCATAATCTTTTCATAGACGGTACATCATACAATCTGTCACGTATTTGTTTGAAATCAGCGCATTAAAACATAAAGTGTTTGACTGTAAATGGTTGATCGTATGAATAAAATGTTACAAGGAACAAAAGTGTGAACATATTGAATTGTACGGTAATGAAATTTGCCTGTAGAAGGCTTGGGTGATCTATGTCACAAGTGTAAAATCCAGACCGGTTGCGGAGCTAACATACAGCAAGCATTAGAATAAAGTGATTTTGAGCGAGGTTTGTGTCGATTTGCTTTCATACTTATCGTCATGTAAACGGCAAAAGAGGATACACCGACCAACATAAGTTGTCTGCTTTTGTTCCCTGAACCAGGTATTATTCTACAGTTTCTTGTTTAATGGAATGTGAGAGGAGCCATTTCGAGTTGACTAGTGTACGGTCAGATGGAGTCTACATAAAAACATGGAATTTGTTTTGAAAGTCTTACCATTGAAGGATTTATATATTCTCTTTTAGAACTGAAATATTCTTTCTTTTCGCCGGATTATCCTTGACTTCCGTGTGTAGTTGCGAAGACGTTAAACCCCAAACTAACAAACAAACCGGCCCGACTTCTGGTTGCAAGCGCACAGTTTAGTATTAACGTATACAATATTCATACAGTTTATCCTGGGGTAAACCCAGGAAGGTATTTACACATACATATATATATACATAAGAATATACAATAAAAACATAATTCTGTCAGATCTTCCGCTAGGCCTTTCTGCCCTCTAGTGCTTCTTCAGGCGGATTGGAGAATAAGAATATACATTCATTCTCCAAGCATCTCACTAGTCTACTGTCACATCGGATATAAGTTTAGTGCTCGTACTTAGTCAAACTTAGTATATACACATGTATGTATATATACAAGTATAGTGCGATAATATATATTACTACTACTGCTATGTGGCGGGGCGATCCCCAAACATCAGAGCTACTGCAAATAACAATTTATATAATACAAGATAGATATGTTGATATGTATACAACACGTGTGGTATCATATTGAAAGCCAAAAGTCATGTACACGTGACTCTTTGGTGGAGTAATTCCCAAACATCAGACCAATGTATAAGAGTCTCTGAACCTAGCATATATTGGTCAGCCAGGAATCCCTCTGTTCTCCACTTGAGCCAGTATTGGCTTAGTAGATTGCCTGGATAGACTCCGTCGGTCAGCAGATCTAGAGAGTAAGATACTTTAGTACTGCTGTTAGCTTTATTGCTTTCCCTCGACTTGCCCAGGGGAAAACGAGGTAGACGTAGTAAACTTGACCCCGTCTACCTCGACTTGACCACGTTTCCCTCAACTTGACCATGTTTCCCTCGACCTGACCATGTTTCCCTCGACTTGACAATGTCTCCCTTAACTTGACCATGTATCCCTCGACTTGACCATGTTTCCTTCGACTTGACCACGACTTGACCATGTCTCCCTCGACTTGACCATGTTTCCCTCGACTTGACCATGTTTCCCTTAACTTGACCATATCTCCCTCGTCTTGACCATGTATCCTTCGACTTGACTTTACTTTCTTTTCTAAAACAAAGAAGCGAATAACTCTATTGATGTCGTGTTATTGTGAAACCTTTCATAAAAAGATATAAAAGTATAGGAAAACTTACCACATTTACCCATATCACATAATCGTTACTGATCGCCATCCTGACACTACAACATCGATATGAAATATGATGTAAATTTAACTATGATAAAGTGTACTTTTAAACGTTTTCCTCTGAACTCATAGCACAGCTATCTATATATTTTCTATGAACACCAGAGATAGCGTACAATTTCTCTTTGTATATGTATATGGTCAATTAAAACTTTAAGTAATTAGAAAAAAATATGTATTGATGTTATGAAATATTCAGTTAAATGATTTCATGAAGGAACACATTTCACTCTAAACAATCATTAAAATATGTACTTCGTGTAGTCTTTTTAACTTTTAAACACTGTAGTGCACTGGAGTTCACATCGTAGTGCACTGGAGTTAACATTGAAGTGAACTGGAGTGCATTTCAATGTTTTGTCTAGTGTACTTCCTTGTTCATTACGTGTGCGCTACAAAGTGCGCTAGATACTATATAATTATATGACAAACATCTTCAAAGATCTATAACTTCCATCACTAGCATCAAGACAAAATCAATAGAGGTTGACATTCTATTACAAAATTGTACTCCTGTATCCCTGCAGTAGGGGCCCACATTTAGCCGACATTGGATATATTCCGGATATATTTTACCACTCCTGTTGTTTTTGGTTCTTTTGTTAGTCCCTGGTAATACACTTCCGGTATAATTTTGGCGCACATGTAAGTTTGTTATGATTTTTTTCTCTGGTTGAATTTCGTAGTTTACCAATGAGTACTGACTCTTAACATAAAGAGCAGCTTGTTGGCTTGCAGTCAAACAACTATTAGGTGAGCACTGGAAAGAGTCGAGACCGGTTTCAGTGTTACACTGAGTGTATGACAGAACTCTGTCCACAGGGGTTCGTTCACGGTTACAAATGTCTGAAATACGCATATACTATACACATATGTGTGTTGTGACCAATATCGGTATAACATATGTGTATTTCAGATATTTGTAACTTACCCATGTGCTCAATAGTTTTGCCTAGCACGAGTTTCCTCTGGCCCTAACATGTACACCAGACTTATAAATTTTGACATATATAGATGTCTGGACATATATATGTCAAAATGTCTAAGTCTGGTGTTAGGGCTACTCCAACAGTGTTAGAGGTTTACACGGCGAGATACTTTTGACAGGCAATGTGTTTTAGTCGGCAAAATCATATACGATAGAAAAAAGCCGACCACCAGACCCCTCTTATGTTAGGTCTAAGATTTTCCATAACCACAGGGTTCGTTACAAATGTCTGAAATACACTTATGCTATACTGATATGGGTCACAGCACAGGTACAGTGTAAAGATACACAAGTTGTACAAGTTGTGCCATAACCATATATACATCCAGCCTCTGACAATGTTTAATAATATTACAATTTATTTAAATCAATCTTCCATTTAATTCCTACATTCACGTATCCCAGTTGAAAGGGTACTGTAGAAGTGGCGCACTAACATATTTTCCACGATAAACGAACGCACTTGGACCATTCTATAAGCAGAGCTTAAAATGCACAGTTTCGGAGAATAAATTACAATGTATAAGAATATTTTGCCATTCTTTCACGCGTCCACTGCATAAGAATCATATAACCTATTTTAGAAACTACATGTGGCTTGACATTGTTTTAGAAAGAAAAAAGCAATAGTCAGCATTTTAGTTTCGGTCTGATATGTCGGAACCCCTCAATCAACACATGCCCAATATTCCTGAGGTCGGCCTCGGTTCAGATCTGTGCCTGTCATTTTCTTTCCAGGTTCAACCGTTTCAACCATTTACGGGAAAGTGCCCCTATATTTTATTGCTCAATTTTCTATAGATCTCGACTTTGTTGAAATGTAACTTATGAGCAGATCCAGGTCATTTAGCCCCAAATCCAATCCCTTCATTGAATAATTGACCTACGTACATCATCATATTGAAGATTACGTCCAAAGTTGCTTTGTCCTTATAAATATATTTTTTTAGTTTATAAATATCAGTTCAAATGGGTTTTTTTATGATAAAAATCTCACCATGTTCATGTCTCACGAACGGAAGAATTGTACGTTTTGTGCAGATTTAGCGTGAAATGACTTGAGGAGACCAGGGACGTATAGTGAAGGGGATTAGCAACTCCTTCTCTGCCTTACCAATTTTATGACACGTCAATCTAGACTTACCTCCCCCTGATTCTGGAGCAGATAGCGAGCGCCACCTATCTCAATTTTGACAAAGCAAGATGGCGTCGATACCGCTTCGTTAGATGCAGAAGTTGGTGTGAAAACAAACAAATCTCGATAAGTGTTCTTACGTCTTTTGTTTATCCCATTGTAATAAGCTGATTGTATTACGTTTAATTGATAAAATCTGTGGTATCATAGTAATTGATGTCTCCTTTTTGGGGTATATTTTTCTATTTCAAAACGTGATGTAACGCGTGGTTCAGAGTATTGTGGTGGGCGTCGATAGACAAAAATGCGGGATAAAAAAAAAACCACATGTATGTGAACCACCTCACTCCAAAAGTATTTGACCGATCTTTTTTAAATTAGCAGCAATAGAAAGCTGAATAAATTTTATAACGACCCAACCCATTTTAATTGCAAATAACATAATTCAACTTGTGTTATTTTTGTGACAAAAAGACTAAATATCAGCATTATTTTTCACTGGAACGTAAATCATTATTGCAAAAGTAGTTGGTGACTGCTCACTGTTTTGATCAAATTTTATAAACTATCGATTATATTTTTTAAAACAATTAATATCAATAAACAGCTGAGTAATTTCTATGTTAAGTAGGCCTGATTTGATTTGCATTACTTGGAACGATAGCGATGTCACAGATGAAATTACTCGTCTGGTAACGAAGGACACGTGTTGTTTAAAACCCTAAACAAAAATGCGTGATAAAAAAACCCCACATGTATGTGAACCACCTCACTCCAATAGAATTTGACCAATCTTTTTTAAATTATCAGCAATAGAAAGCTGAATAATTTTTATAACGACCCAACCCATTTTAATTGCAATTAATATAATTTAACTTATGTTATTTTTGTGTCAAAAAGACTAGATATCAGTAATATTTTTCACTGGAACGTAAATCATGGCGAAAGTAGTTGGTAACTGCTCACTGTTTTGGTTAATTTTATAAACTATCGTTTGTATTTTTTAAAACAATTAATATCAATAAACAGCCGAGTAATTTCTATGTTAAGTAGGCCTGATTTTATTTGCATTATTTGGAACGATAGCGATGTCACAGATGAAATTACTTGTCTGATAACGAAGAACACGTGTTGTTAAAAACCGTAAACAACCGGAAATGTTAAACGCAACAAAAAAGTATCGCCTGCATTCGAGGATCAGCTCATTTAAAAAATACTTCTTCTTGAAATTTACAGCGATAGAAAGTTGAATAATTTTTTGATATGTATTACTAATTTTTATGGCAACAAATAACAAATAACTTGTGCTGTTTTTGTGTCAAAAAGTGTCAATATTAGCATTATTTTCACTGGAACGTGCTTTACAAATGTGATTTGTTGTAATAGCCACCAACACAGCCGAAAGGCTAGACATAGTGGCAACGATAGCCCTGTCCCTGGAATAAAAAGAAGACCTACTAATACACAGTCCGAGTTAGGGCTAACCGTTATCAAAACACTTCGATCTCGGCGACATTGTGACATGACACAGAAAGCAGGTGCGTGCTTAATTTTAACGCTAGTGCGCAAGCGCGGGCTGAACGAGAGGGGCTCTCGATGACTTCGCTGTTCGGTGAACAAACACAAAAGCGACGTGCTATAGAATCTTGACTGGGGCAGAGTTGCCAATCCCCTCTATATACTGTCCCTGAGGAGACAAACAGGATTTAAGGCAAATCAACCTGACACTGCCAGATCTCCTGTCTAGCTGAAACTATCAATCTGTCTCTTATTAACACATTCTAGTTTGGTACCTGAAATAGCGATTTTTCCATCTTTTTTGTGAAGGCCAGAAAAAGCTGCAGATTCGTAAAACATAAAGTTAATGGACACACAAAAGAACAATTTTCAGCACTTTAAAGTGTACCCTGAATGAAAATAAGGATGGATCTGTATTTTGTTATTCTAAATGATCAAAAATACAAAAATGTTGAAAACCAAATAAAAATTAGTCAACCCAATGATGTGATTTATATATTGACAAGTAATCATAATGTGTGGTTCACCTGACCTTTTACTGCTAATCAGCATAATCAGGTAAATATTACCTATACCAATCAGACAGAACACACCATATAAATATAGCTGTAGAGTTCACATATCAAATACACTATTGAATTAAGCTTCCCATTAAATTATAATAAGGCTGTTTTGACAGCGTTAAACTTGTGACGTCATATATATGTACAGATGTGGTTTACCCATATCGAGGTGATTGCTGCTGAGGCAAAGATGTGTTTTTCAGAAAAATCACATCCCTGAAACAGAGGTCATCATGATCACGATGTTTGCTCTTTTTAACCTTTTGTTGCATATTTAGTATGAGGTATTTCATAGTGTAATATAGCTTATAGCAAGTCAATCATGTTACACTTTAAGAGTGTCAAAATATCTCTCTTATGAGGTCAATTGGTTTAATATTTAGTACTGCTGGTTCATAAAAGATATAATTGAGACCTCAATTGAGTTCATCACTTTAATTTATTCAAACTATTTTTTGTTTTCACAGAATAATCGATTTTCACCATAGAAGTGGAGTATATTTTTAATGGTTTAAAAATGGCAGAAGTTGGGTCTGAACCCGGTGGGCGAATTAAGGTTTGTATTATATATGATTATATTTACAATGTAATTTCACGTGCACTCCACTTTGTTAAAGCTTGTCAGTTTCTAGTGATGGGCAATCAGTTTAAAATCGTGATCGATAATCAGTTTGTAATCAGAGGAGGTAAACTGATCGCTGATTGATTGCAAATAATCGGTTCCTAATTTTATGGGACTGAATACCACAATAAAGTGAAAACACTACCATAATATCAAAAGGCAGCGTTGCTTACCATGCATACATCATTATAATTACTGCCTTTTGTATAAGCTTACATTAATTATATAAGTCAAACAACTTTCACCAAGCTGACACATTATTTTTTGCAAATGATTCAAGTAACTTAATAGGTAATTAATTATAACCTATACCTATAGTCTTGTACAACTATATTGATTTCAAAACAGCAAAATACTAAAAGTCAGTGGGACCTCAACTTTTGGTGATGTTAAAAAATGTTCAGAACAATGAGACTATACCATTTAACGTAGATATATCTTAAATCATCTGTATAATCTGATGCCAACTGGATTATTTTCACGATTTTGATAAAGGTTTACATTTGTTCTTGGAAAATTTTCAGGGTACAACTATAGTGAAGCCATTTGTGTATGGTAACATTGCCAGGTACTTTGGAAAGAAGAGGGAGGAAGATGGACACACCCATCAATGGACGGTCTATGTCAAACCCTATAAAAATGAGGTATATATATACATATCTGGACAGTCTATGTCAAACCCTATAAAAATGAAGTATATATATATATACACCTAGACAGTCTATGTCAAACCCTATTAAAATGAGGTATATATATATACATACCTGGACAGTCTATGTCAAACCCTGTAAAATGAAGTATATATATACATACCTGGACAGTCTATGTCAAACCCTATAAAAACGAGGTATATACACACCTGGACAGTATGTCAAACCCAATAAAACAAGGTATATATATATATGCATGGACAGTCTATGTCACACCCTATAAAAGCAAGGTATATATATATATATACACCTGTACAGTCTGTGTCAAACCCTATAAAAACAAGGTATATATATATATACACACCTGGACAGTCTATGTCAAACCCTATAAAACAAGGTATATATGCATGGACAGTCTATGTCAAACCCTATAAAAATGAGGTACATGTAAATATACACCTGGACAGTCTATGACAAACCCTATCAAAACAAGGTATATATACACATGGACAGTCTATGTCAAACCCTATAAAATGTAGGTTCATATATATACACATGGACAGTCTATATCAAACCCTATAAAAACAAGGTATACATATACATGGACAGTCTATGTCAAACCCTATAAAAATGAGGTACATGTATATCTACACCAGGACAGTCTATGAAAAACCCTATAAAAACAAGGTATATATACACATGGACAGTCTATGTCAAACCATATAAAAATGAGGTATATATATACACATAGACAGTCTATGTCAAACCCTATAAAATGTAGGTTCATATATATACACATGGACAGTCTATGTCAAACCCTATAAAAACAAGGTACATGTATATATACACCTGGACAGTCCATGTCAAACCCTATAAAAATGAGGTATATATATATACACATGGACAGTCTATGTCAAACCCTATAAAAATGAGGTATATATATACACATGGACAGTCTATGTCAAACCCTATAAAAACCAGGTATATATATACCTGGACAGTCGATGTCAAACCATATAAAAACAAGGTATATATACACATGGACAGTCTATGTCAAACCCTATAAAAACCAGGTATATATACACCTGGACAGTCTATGGCAAACCCTATAAAAACCAGGTATATATACACCTGGACAGCCTATGGCAAACCCTATAAAAACCAGGTATATATACACCTGGACAGTCTATGGCAAACCCTATAAAAACCAGGTATATATACACATGTACAGTCTATGTCAAACCCTATAAAAACCAGGTATATATGTACCTGGACAGTCGATGTCAAACCATATAAAAACAAGGTATATATACGCATGGACAGTCTATGTCAAACCCTATAAAAACCAGGTATATAAACACCTGTACAGTCTATGTCAAACCCTATAAAAACAAGGTATATATACACATGGACAGTCTATGTCAAACCCTATAAAAACAAGGTATATATACACATGGTCAGTCTATTTCAAACCCTATAAAAACCAGGTATATATACACATGGACAGTCTATGTCAAACCCTATACAAACCAGGTATATATACACATGTACAGTGTATGTCAAACCCTATAAAAACCAGGTATATATACACATGGACAGTGTATGTCCAACACTATAAAACAAGGTATTTATACACATGGACAGTCTATGTCAAACCCTATACAAACCAGGTATATATACACATGGACAGTGTATGTCAAACCCTATAAAAACCAGGTATATATACACATGGACAGTCTATGTCAAACCCTATAAAAACCAGGTATATATACACATGGACAGTCTATGTCAAACCCTATAAAAACCAGGTATATATACACCTGTACAGTCTATGTCAAACCCTATAAAAACCAGGTATATATACACATGGACAGTCTATGTCAAACCCTATAAAAACCAGGTATATATACACCTGTACAGTCTATGTCAAACCCTATAAAAACCAGGTATATATACACCTGGACAGTCTATGTCAAACCCTATAAAAACCAGGTATATATACACCTGTACAGTCTATGTCAAACCCTATAAAAACCAGGTATATATACACCTGTACAGTCTATGTCAAACCCTATAAAAACCAGGTATATATACACATGGACAGTCTATGTCAAACCCTATAAAAACCAGGTATATATACACCTGTACAGTCTATGTCAAACCCTATAAAAACCAGGTATATATACACCTGGACAGTCTATGTCAAACCCTATAAAAACCAGGTATATATACACCTGTACAGTCTATGTCAAACCCTATAAAAACCAGGTATATATACACCTGTACAGTCTATGTCAAACCCTATAAAAACCAGGTATATATACACATGGACAGTCTATGTCAAACCCTATAAAAACCAGGTATATATACACCTGTACAGTCTATGTCAAACCCTATAAAAACCAGGTATATATACACATGGACAGTCTATGCCAATCCCTATAAAAACCAGGTATATATACACCTGTACAGTCTATGTCAAACCGTATAAAAACCAGGTATATATACACATGGACAGTCTATGCCAATCCCTATAAAAACCAGGTATATATACACCTGTACAGTCTATGTCAAACCCTATAAAAACCAGGTATATATACACATGGACAGTCTATGCCAATCCCTATAAAAACCAGGTATATATACACCTGTACAGTCTATGTCAAACCCTATAAAAACCAGGTATATATACACATGGACAGTCTATGCCAATCCCTATAAAAACCAGGTATATATACACCTGTACAGTCTATGTCAAACCCTATAAAAACCAGGTATATATACACATGGACAGTCTATGCCAATCCCTATAAAAACCAGGTATATATACACCTGTACAGTCTATGTCAAACCCTATAAAAACCAGGTATATATACACATGGACAGTCTATGCCAATCCCTATAAAAACCAGGTATATATACACCTGTACAGTCTATGTCAAACCCTATAAAAACCAGGTATATATACACATGGACAGTCTATGCCAATCCCTATAAAAACCAGGTATATATACACCTGTACAGTCTATGTCAAACCCTATAAAAACCAGGTATATATACACATGGACAGTCTATGCCAATCCCTATAAAAACCAGGTATATATACACCTGTACAGTCTATGTCAAACCCTATAAAAACCAGGTATATATACACATGGACAGTCTATGCCAATCCCTATAAAAACCAGGTATATATACACCTGTACAGTCTATGTCAAACCCTATAAAAACCAGGTATATATACACATGGACAGTCTATGCCAATCCCTATAAAAACCAGGTATATATACACCTGTACAGTCTATGTCAAACCCTATAAAAACCAGGTATATATACACATGGACAGTCTATGCCAATCCCTATAAAAACCAGGTATATATACACCTGTACAGTCTATGTCAAACCCTATAAAAACCAGGTATATATACACATGGACAGTCTATGCCAATCCCTATAAAAACCAGGTATATATACACCTGTACAGTCTATGTCAAACCCTATAAAAACCAGGTATATATACACATGGACAGTCTATGCCAATCCCTATAAAAACCAGGTATATATACACCTGTACAGTCTATGTCAAACCCTATAAAAACCAGGTATATATACACATGGACAGTCTATGCCAATCCCTATAAAAACCAGGTATATATACACCTGTACAGTCTATGTCAAACCCTATAAAAACCAGGTATATATACACATGGACAGTCTATGCCAATCCCTATAAAAACCAGGTATATATACACCTGTACAGTCTATGTCAAACCCTATAAAAACCAGGTATATATACACATGGACAGTCTATGCCAATCCCTATAAAAACCAGGTATATATACACCTGTACAGTCTATGTCAAACCCTATAAAAACCAGGTATATATACACATGGACAGTCTATGCCAATCCCTATAAAAACCAGGTATATATACACCTGTACAGTCTATGTCAAACCCTATAAAAACCAGGTATATATACACATGGACAGTCTATGCCAATCCCTATAAAAACCAGGTATATATACACCTGTACAGTCTATGTCAAACCCTATAAAAACCAGGTATATATACACATGGACAGTCTATGCCAATCCCTATAAAAACCAGGTATATATACACCTGTACAGTCTATGTCAAACCCTATAAAAACCAGGTATATATACACATGGACAGTCTATGCCAATCCCTATAAAAACCAGGTATATATACACCTGTACAGTCTATGTCAAACCCTATAAAAACCAGGTATATATACACATGGACAGTCTATGCCAATCCCTATAAAAACCAGGTATATATACACCTGTACAGTCTATGTCAAACCCTATAAAAACCAGGTATATATACACATGGACAGTCTATGCCAATCCCTATAAAAACCAGGTATATATACACCTGTACAGTCTATGTCAAACCCTATAAAAACCAGGTATATATACACATGGACAGTCTATGCCAATCCCTATAAAAACCAGGTATATATACACCTGTACAGTCTATGTCAAACCCTATAAAAACCAGGTATATATACACATGGACAGTCTATGCCAATCCCTATAAAAACCAGGTATATATACACCTGTACAGTCTATGTCAAACCCTATAAAAACCAGGTATATATACACATGGACAGTCTATGCCAATCCCTATAAAAACCAGGTATATATACACCTGTACAGTCTATGTCAAACCCTATAAAAACCAGGTATATATACACATGGACAGTCTATGCCAATCCCTATAAAAACCAGGTATATATACACATGGACAGTCTATGTCAAACCCTATAAAAACCAGGTATATATACACATGGACAGTCTATGCCAATCCCTTTGTTAATAATGTTTGATATTGAGTGAAGAAGATAAATAACTTTGTAACTACGGTGTGATACCTTAACTCAATACCATCATGTATTTACAGGATCTGTCAGGATATATCAAGAAAATTCACTTCAAACTTCATGACAGTTACCCAAATCACAACAGAGGTAGGTACATGACAGTATTCTCAGTACAGCCCCCAAAGGGCCAAGGGAGCATATGCTGTGTCGCGGCGTCCGTCTTTGGTCTAGATGAATGACCTTCGCCCATATTCAAGGTCACAGGGGTCATGTATGTTGAAATGTTTAAATGACTTCTAAAACAACAAAAGGCCTAGGGTAATGATATTTGGCTAGAAGCATATTTGGATGATGGGCTTCCAAGTTTGTTTAAATGAATGACTTTAACCTATATTCAAGGTCACAGAGTCAATTATCTCAATAAAACTTTAAACAGCTTCTTTTGAATAACCAAATTGACCAGGAGGATGATATTTGGCTAGTAGCATGCCATTATGAAGGACTACCAAATTACCTCCGCCTATTTTCAGGGTCACGGGAGTAAAATATTTTGAAATTTTTAAACGACTTCTAAATAACCAAAAGGTCCAAGGTAATGATATTTGGAGAGTAACATGCAGGCATGAAGGGCTACCAACTTTATGCAAATAAATGACCTTCACCAATATTCTAGGTCACAGGGGTCAATTATGGTAAAAACTTTGAACAACTTCTTCTGAATAACCAAAATGCAATGGATGCTGATATGTGACCACTAGCATGATCAAATGATGAGCTGTCAAGTTTGTGCATCTGAATGACCAATTGTTTATAAATCTTTCAAAGTCATCTTCTTAATAAACAAAAGGAGTAGGGTGTTGATATTTGGCAAGTTGCATTCTGAGATGAAGGGCTATAAAATTTGTTCAACTGTATGTCCTTGTTTAACTTTCAAGGTCACAGGGTCAAATGTTTTCAAATCAGTTTCTTTTGAATAACTTTGAGTCAAGAGACCGATATTTTGCCTGCAGCTTTATTTTAGTCCACTTTTAAGGTCACAGCTGTGAGATTTATACCAGGTGAGCTATACAGGCCAACTGGGCCTCTTGTTCTGTACTTTAAGGAATGAGTTACAGTAGTTTTAGTAATAGGAATGTCCTTTTAAATTAAGGTTGTTCTGTAATATAAGTTTAACTTGAATAGTAAATATAGAGCACTCTGATTTGATACTGATTTTGATGTTTTCCTTTCAGTGGTAACAAAGCCACCATATGAAGTCACAGAAACAGGATGGGGGGAGTTTGAGGTCATCATCAAAATTTACTTTGTGGATCCTAACGAAAGACCAGTAAGCTAAAATAGAGTCTCGTGTGTTTTCAATAGTGTCACCAAAACAGTTGGTATAGTAGATACAAACACATCAACTGTACAACAAGCTGTGTTTTAACATTTTGTAAAGACACCCAGAACTATTGTCCGAGTTTCCTCTGGCCCCGACACCAGACTTAGACATCTATCAGAAATTGACTATGACACAACACGTACCTCACATATATCGATAAATGGAGTATTTATTGATCCAAATCCGCTCTTATAATCACTAATAGCTGCTAAATTCCATTAGTAGAGTCCTCGGTTTACAAACGTGTAAAATTTCCCACCTGAGCTGACGCCATTTATGCAGGTCATGGTAGTGACGTCAACTAATTAACGGAATATATCATTCATGTTTAGAAAATTTTCAGACCGCCTCTTTTTGTTGATTAGTCACGAAGTTTGAACCATTGTAAACCAAGGACTTAAAATTTATATCTAATGGAGAAAATGTGTTTGTTGAAAATGTGTTTGTACATTTTGTAACATGAGAAGTATATAAAGTTGGGGAGCGTTAAGACAATTAACAAATACTTTTACAGAAGAAAGTGTGTTTGTTGTTGTTGATGGGGGGGCTTATATAGGGAAGAGACGTTTAACTCATTCACCCCTAAAGTTTCATAGTGAACTATTCCAACCTTTGAATTGGAAGAGTTCAAATGTGTCTTCAGGGGTGAATGAGTTAATACAGAGAATGTTACCAGTAGAAGCCTTTGTTTGTTGTACTTCAGGTGACAGTGTACCACCTTTTGAAGCTGTTCCAGAGCGAGACTGACATCATGCTGGGCAAGAAATCGCTGGTGGTGGAGTACTACGATGAGCTGGTATGTTAGCGGATGGTAGTTACTGTACCTGTAAACAGTTCTGTATAGCAGGGGTATGCTATATATAAATAGTGGGTGGTAGTTACTGTACCTGTAAACAGTTCTGTATAGCAGGGGTATGCTATATATAAACAGTGGGTGGTAGTTACCTATGAACACTTTTTAGCTCACCTGGCACGAAGTGCCAAGTGAGCTTATGCCGTGGCGCGGCGTCCGTCGTCCGTCCGTCCGTCAACTTTTCCTTTAAACAACTTCTTCTGAAGAACGGACAGGCCTAAAGTCATGATATTTGACTGAAAGCTTCGTTGGTAGGAGCCCTACAAAGTTTGAGAACGAAAATGACCTTGACCTGTTTTCAAAGTCACAGGGGTCAAATATGTCAAAAACTTCAAACGACTTCTTCTAAAGAACTAAAAGGTATAGAATCTTCATATTTGGCTGATGGCTTCCTGGGATAGAGCCCAACAAAGTTTGAGAATGAAAATGACCTTGACCTACTTTCAAGGTCACAGGGGTCAAATGTGTCAAACACTTCAAACGACTTCTTCTGAAGAACTGAAAGGTATAGAATCTTTATATTTGGCTGGTGGCTTCCTGGGATAGAGACCAACAAAGTTTGAGAATGAAAATTAGTTTGACCTACTTTCAAGGTCACAGGGGTCAAATATGTCAAAAACTTCAAACGACTTCTTCTGAAGAATTAAAAGGTATAGAATCTTCATATTTGGCTGATGGCTTCCTTGGATGGAGCCCAACAAAGTTTGAGAATGAAAATTACCTTGACCTTCTTTCAAGGTCACAGGGGTCAAATGTGTCAAACACTTCAAACGACTTCTTCTGAAGAACTGAAAGGTATATAATCTTTATATTTGGCTGGTGGCTTCCTGGGATAGAGCCCAACAAAGTTTGAGAATGAAAACTAGTTTGACCTACTTTCAAGGTCACAGGGGTCATATATGTCAAAAGCTTCAAATGACTTCTTCTGAAGAACTGAAAGGTATAGAATCTTTATTTTTGATTGATGGCTTCCTTGGATAGAGCCCGACAAAGTTTGAGAATGAAAATGACCTTGACCTTCTTTCAAGGTCACAGGAGTCAAATGTGTCAGACACTTCAAACGACTTCTTCTGAAGAACTGAAAGGTATATAATCTCTATATTTGGCTTGTAGCTTCCTAGGAAAGAGCCGAACAAAGTTTGAGAATGAAAATGACCTTGACCTTCTTTTAAGGTCACATGAGGCAGATATGTCAAACACTTTAAACGACTTCTTCTGAAGAACTGGTAGTTATAAAATCTTAATATTTGGCAGGTGGCTTCCTGGGAAAGAGCCAAACAAAGTTTGCGAATGAAAATGACCTTGACCTACTTTCAAGGTCACAGCGTTCAAATATGTCAAACAGTTCAAACAGCTTCTTCTGAAGAATTAAAAGGCATAAAATTATAATATTTGGCTGGTGACTTCCCGGGATAGAGCTCACCAAAGTTTGCAAATGAAAATGACCTCAACCTACTTTAGAGGTCACAGAGGTCAACAACATTTTAATGGATTTGTTCTTGAGAACTAAAAGGAATGGATTCATAAGATTTGGCTGGTAGCTTTTTGGAATAGAGCTAACCAATTTGAGAAGGAAAATGACATTGACCTACTTACAAGATCACAGGGAAAAATATGTCAAGCAACTTCTGAAGAAGAATCAAAAAGCATAGAATCTTATAATAATATTTTGCTGGTAGTTTCAACAGATGGAGCCAACAAAGTTTGCGAGGGAAATATTTTTAGTGCAATATAATATTTAATGAGAATATTTTGCTATGACTGCTTAAATATTCAGGTGAGCGATACAGGCCCTCTTGGGCCTCTTGTTTGTTTAGCAATTTGGCGGGTCAACATCTACTGCGGTAGGTTTGTAAAATATATATATATTGCCAAAGTTTAAAATGCCAAATAAAATGTCACCAGTATTTTCATCTTTGGCTATTAAGTGTTCAAACTGCCAATAAAATTTGATCCTTTTTGAGAGAATGTAATGACATTTTGCGCCCAACGAAATATACTCACGGAAGGTGGTATAGTCTTATGTGTCTTTGAGGTCGAAGACTTTGATAAAGGAGGGAGTAATGTAGCAGATCTAGACCGGTCAATCGTCTGTGACCAGGTAGCTCAGTTGGTAGAGCGTCTGTCTAGAGTTCGGAAGGCCCCAGGTTCGAACCCCGGTCTGGCCGTGCATTTTTCCTCTTCTGTTACAAATGTATTCTTCATTATGTTTCAGGTGTTCCAGGATCCTACGGTATTGATGCACCATGCTCTAACTAACACACGACCGATGTCCCTCGGCACATACAAACACGACACAGATTGTACGTACCTCAGAACATATTCTTAGGCTAGAGTGTATAAAATATACGAACACGATACAGATTGTACGTACCTCAGAACATATTCTTGGGATAGAGTGTATAAAATAGTTTACAAAATCTATAAAAAAAAAATACGAAAACTTTATTTGACACAGCCATACATTGTAATGGTTAAGGTCGATCTGCCACCTATATCAGACACTATAACTATGGGTGAATTGTTTTACTAGCAACACATGTGTAACAGTTAACATTCTACGCCCTCTAGTCAAATGAGTCCAATTCCCCTGGATTGTTTCCATATGGGTTCCTCCATCAATAAAAAGATAATGTATTCATAAAAAAATCTTATGTTAAATTTAGATTCCCCCCCCCCCCCCCCCCCAAAGATCAGAATTCCTACACCTATAAGTTTGCTCTTGGTCAGGATACTCATAGTAAATTTTTAAAATGATTGAATGAGGACTTTTCCAAATATATAAACATCATCGTATCAGGGGGTGCGGTAGTTTAGTGGTAGGACGCCAGGCTCGTAATCGGAAGGGTTACAGGTTCGAGTCACGTCACAGCACCGTGTTGTATCTTTGTAGAAGATACTTTACTCCGCTTGTCCCATTCTACTCAGCTGTAAATGAGTACGTCGTCGGGCAGTGCTAGAACTGTTGAATGCTAGCTGTGAGCGCCAAAATGTTAGCACCGGCTGTATGCTCCCCAGGAAGTTGAGAAAGATATTGGCTGGTTGCAAAGGCCCTATAACCACGGATAATAATTTGTAAATCGCTTTAAGACAACCATTGAACTAGGTTGTGATAAAGCGGTATATAAGAACCTCAAATTATTATTATTGTATGTATATGAATTGATGATTGATTTGGTATTAAATGTCACTTAATATAGTTTTAAAAAAGTTAGGTGTTAGGGGTCACATAACAAAGTGACTGCCTGTCTGTTTCCCCCTCCCCTCTTCCTCTAGTATATATTGATTTCTGGAATAAATGCCGTAAGATGTTCTCAAATTCTCTGTTTCCAGTTGATGAAAGAAAGGAGAAGACGCTCAATAACATAGTAGCAGCCAATAAGAAAATCCGCTACGAGATACAGGAACTTAACGAACGCTTGAAACAGAAAAAAGAAAACATCAACAAACTGAAGGAGCATATCAACAAGGTAGAAGACGTTGACCTACAGCCTGACGTGGAAAGCGTGACGTGATGTTTGTACCTCGGGTGCGCTTCAGTCTGTTCATCGTTCAACATATAGGACATATCTCTATCAAGGAAACATTATATCAAACATTCTAGGGAATGTTGAGGTTGTTCTATGATGATTTTGCTGGACAAGTTGGTGTTATTTTACACAATATAGGGCTACATTGGCGTATCCGGTTGAATCAGTTGAACCGGTTAAACCTGTAAAGAATATGACGGGCACAGATCTGAACCGAGGCTGACCTCCGGTGTAGATTGAGGGGTCCAGACGTAAAGTTTTAGCTCTGCTTATCGAACAGTTAAAGTGCGTTTGTTTATCTCGGAATATTTCTGCACCACCTGTACCTTTTCAACCGGTAGACGCGAATGTAACCTTAGTATATATATTCCGGACACCTACCACCAACAGGACAGTCTGGGTTATTTTGACGTTACTGGGTTGTGCTTCGGATTGATTCAATGCTAAATATCAGAAAGTAGGACCATTGTCCATGACAATATATCGGAGCATGATTTGTGAACTTTCTTCAGGAAAATTGAATGTCAGTTGTATGCCATGAATAATATGGAATATTTCTTCAATAAAACAATCCCTATTTGTATATTAAAAACCTGTAAAATCTGACCCGACTTTTCTGACTTGTCATATTTAACGTACAGCTGTAATCACATTTTTTATGAAAACTTACCAAATAAAACCTTTGTATTCCGACATCCGGTCTAGTCTAACACACAGCTGAAATCAAACCAATGAATCATTTGTACTCTTACACCCTGTCTTATCCAAGTAATTTGTCAGATCTCACTGGGTGTCAGATCAGTTAGAAAGGATCAGTGTACTATTGAAATTATGCTTTTTTCTGATAATTTATCAAATAAACTCATCAAAAATCTCTAGTTGTAACCGCCAGATTAAACGCGCAGATCCATTTGTCCTCCTACTTGAAGGGACTTGAGGTTTGCTCTCATTGTGTCGCTATGTCCAGGGTATGTATACCTCATACAGAGCCGTACAGGCAACATTGATCCTTAAATTGTGTAAGGTAAATATAGTATGTCGGGTACAAAGAGAACAACGTCAGAAATAAATCACTTCAATGAGGTAAATTTATTGATTAAAGACACTTTCAAATGTTGAGCAAATTACTATATATTCTGTAAAATTCTTTATTTTCATGTAGATTTAAATCTTCAATCCAATATTCACAATAACATTTTTCCATGAAAAAAACCCCAAGACATGATCTATCTGATAAAACCGTATCTTGATATATGCTCTGTACCTTGATATACGCTCTGTACCTTGATATACGCTCTGTACCTTGATATATGCTCTGTACCTTGATATACCCTCTGTACCTTGATATACGCTCTACCTTGACATACGCTGTACCTTGATATACGCTCTGTACCTTGATATACGCTCTGTACCTCGATATACGCTCTGTTCCTCGATATACGCTCTTTACCTCGATATACGCTCTGTACCTTGATATATGCTCTGTACCTTGATATACCCTCTGTACCTTGATATACGCTCTACCTTGATATACGCTCTGTACCTTGATATACCCTCTGTACCTTGATATATGCTCTGTACCTTGATATACGCTCTGTACCTTGATATATGCTCTGTACCTTGATATACGCTCTGTACCTTGATATACGCTCTGTACCTTGATATACGCTCTGTTCCTTGATATACCCTCTGTACCTTGATATACGCTCTGTTCCTTGATATACCCTCTGTACCTTGATATACGCTCTGTACCTTGATATACCCTCTGTACCTCTATATACGCTCTGTACCTTGATATACGCTCTGTACCTCGATATACACTCTGTACCTTGACATACGCTCTTTACCTTGATATACGCTCTGTACCTTGATATACGCTCTGTACCTTGATATACGCTCTGTACCTTGATATACGCTGTACCTTGATATACGCTCTGTTCCTTGATATACGCTCTGTACCTTGATATACGCTCTGTTCCTTGATATACGCTCTGTACCTTGATATACGCTCTGTACCTTGATATACGCTCTGTTCCTTGATATATACGCTCTGTACCTTGATATACGCTCTGTACCTTGATATACGCTCTGTTTCGCTGATGTAGCAGAGTGTAGTGTATGAAATGGAGCATAGATCAAGTTATGGTTTTAATCAGATGGAACAAAAATTTACAGACACAAGTACATATGAAGTATAAATGCACTTGGCATCTCTCATTAACCTTAGTAATTAAATACACTGTGTTCACCATAATCATGACTACATAGGTACACGTTCGATCTATCCATTATCCCTTTCACCACTGTAGACCAAAATGGACTCATTCAGATCAATGCAGGGTAGAGTCTTGATCTACTAAAGCTACATAGGGGTGAAAGGGTTATTGTTGTTTAATTTAAGTCAACATACTGTAACAATGACCGGCCGATCAAATGCATGTTTATAGTCTATATAAAAAATCTCTGTGTACTTTTTTGAAATCTGTGTAAATTGGATCCTGCTAGTTTGTCAACTTTAGTAAAGCTGTGTAACAGTAAATCAACAAGGAGAATTTATATTAATCTACCGTTTAAACTAAAGAGCATCTGGATAATATTGCATGCTTTATAATGAAGCAACTAGTGATTAATTTCATGGCATAACTAAGACACCAAAGGAGAGTCCATTTGTGTGGCATTACTTTTCAATTGGGGAGATGCTTGTCCATTTCTTAAAGCAAGAGATACTTAAAAAAACATATTTAACTTCCTTAGTCACACAAATGTCTCCTCTGCCCCTTAGTCACACAAACATCTTCTCTGCCCCTTAGTCACACAAAAATCTCCTCTTTCCCTTAGTCACACAAACATCTCCTCTGCCCCTTAGTCAAACAAACCTCTCCTCTACCCCTTAGTCACACAAACATCTCCTCGGCCCCTTAGTCACACAAACATCTCCTCTGCCTCGTAGTCAAACAAACCTCTCCTCTGCCCCTTAGTCACACAAACATCTCCTCTGCCTCTTAGTCACACAAACATCTCCTCTGCCCCTTAGTCACACAAATGTCTCCTCTGCCCCTTAGTCACACAAACATCTTCTCTGCCCCTTAATCACACAAAAATCTCCTCTTTCCCTTAGTCACACAAACATCTCCTCTGCCCCTTAGTCACACAAACATCTCCTCTGCCTCTTAGTCAAACAAACCTCTCCTCTGCCCCTTAGTCACTCAAACCTCTCCTCTGCCCCTTAGTCAAACAAACCTCTCCTCTACCCCTTAGTCACACAAACATCTCCTCGGCCCCTTAGTCACACAAACCTCTCCTCTGCCCCTTAGTCACACAAACATTTCCTCTGCCCTTAGTCACACAAACATCTCCTCTGCCCCTTAGTCACACAAATGTCTCCTCTGCCCCTTAGTCACACAAACATCTCCTCGGCCCCTTAGTCACACAAACATCTCCTCAGCCCCTTAGTCACACAAATGTCTCCTCTGCCCCTAAGTCACACAACCATCTCCTCTGCCCTTACTCACACAAACATCTCCTCGGCCCCTTAGTCACACAAACATCTCCTCTACCCCTTAGTCACACAAACATCTCCTCAGCCCCTTAGTCACACAAATGTCTCCTCTGCCCCTAAGTCACACAAACATCTCCTCTGCCCTTACTCACACAAACATCTCCTCGGCCCCTTAGTCACACAAACCTCTCCTCTGTTCCTTAGTCACACACACATCTCCTCTGCCCCTTAGTCACACAAACATCTCCTCTGCCCTTACTCACACAAACATCTCCTCGGCCCTTAGTCACACAAACCTCTCCTCTGCCCTTAGTCACACAAACATCCCCTCGGCCCCAGAGATTCAATCACAGAGCCTAGGCCTCTTGATTACAAAGCAGGGAGCTTATCCACTACACTACTGCTAATACATTTATATACTTTTCTGCAACATTTCTGGAATCATTTTAAAAGGTTTCAACTCTCTTGAGAAAATAGAGTAAATTTAACAGTAATACAACTGTTCAAGGCCTGTAGCAAGAAGACAAGTACATATAAAGCGGGACTCTCTACATTTAAGTAATAATCTTCAGCCACACAGAAATTGCTTCAAATTGATTGCACATAAGTAAAGGAACAAAATATAATGTTATTATACATTCATCATTCATACAGTGTAATGTGATTGTCATACGGCCATATTGATAACATTAAAACTTATTTCATTACGAGGAACACATAATACAGTCAAAAGCTACGTCCAGACGGGACTACATGAGCTGATCGTTATACTGGTAACAGGAACTAACTTTAATGCTGGCGCTGTTCTTTTGTACCCAGAGGCAAGAATAAATCAATATTCTGACAACTTTTCAATCATGTATATTTTAAGAAAAAATAACATGTATGCCCTATTTGAAAAATATGGAAGACGGCAAAAATGCATGTACATATCATTTGTAAAATATTGACAATTATCAAACAGGCCATTGTAAAGTTATCAATATTTAGCAAAATATGAATTTAACATACACACTTAAAATGTAGTAAATAGACATTTAGTACATGAACAAAAACATTAAATAAAATATAAATAATGTAATAAGGTGTAAGTACTGGTATAAACAACCCGATATTAGTAAAGATTAAACGTATTTGGCAATATAATTGTGAGAGTAAACAAGTGGCCCAGAGGGCCTGTATCGCTCACCTGGATAATATAGTAACCATGGGAAATTATTCTTATTACATAAAATCCCTCCAATAGTTCAAAAGAAGAAGGATTTTAAAGATTTTAACCTCAAATTCCTCTATTGGGCCCCGCAACTCTGCACCCAGAGGGGCCACACCCTCCGTTTATACAAAATTTAGTCCCCTTTGCCCAAGGATGCTCCAGGTCAAATTTGGATGAAGTGCCTCAAATGGTACAGAAGAAGAAGGATTTTGAAGACTTAATCCTCAACTTCCCCTATTGGGCCCCGCAACTCTGCACCCAGAAAGGCCAAAGTGCAGAGGGGCCACACTCAAAGTTTATACAAAATAATGTCCCCTTTGTCCAAGAATGCTAAAGGCCAAATTTGGATAAAATCCCTCCAATGGTACAGAAGGAGAAGGGTTTTGAAGATTTAAACCTCAAATTCCCCTTTGAGCCCCGGGGAATCGGCCGCCATTCGCATTTGTAGCGTGGTTCCATGTGCTATATATACCGACACGCCATTACTGACCGCTTGTCTGTTAGTGTAGGGGCCACAGAGGGATAATATCCACCTCGTTAGTTATTAAAGCGAACTTCTGGCGCGCTATATCTATAAGTTAAATGACACGTGTTCCATAAATCTCATATAAACGAAATGCAAACAAATTTAAGATCCTTTCTATAACATGATAAAACATTTCTGCAATAATGCAAAGATATGTTTGTCGTTGTTAAAGGCAAAAATTCTGCCATCTTGGCTCTGTCTATCGTCTCAATAGGACATTAATATCATACTACATGTATAATCTGGAGTTTACGACAACATTTTGTTAGGTCACCTGAGACAAAGTCTGTCGTCGTCCGTCGTGCGTCCGTAAACAATTTACATTTTTGACTTCTTCTCCAAAACCCCTGAACCAATTTCAATGAAATTTTGCAGGGACCTTCCATGGACAAAGGTCAACAAAAATAGTTGCCGGTTTAGTCCTAAGCCCCCAGGGGCCTGAGGGGC